CCCATCCCACGAAGCCCCTGCACCTACCACCCCCCCCACACCCCTGCTCGCCCGTGCACCTACCCCCGCACACTGGGGCAGTGGGCCAGGACTGGCCCTCGCCCGGCACAACGGGGGCGGAGAGCCGCTGCCTGCAACCAGAGCCGCAGTCAGGACCTCTCTCCAAATGTGCAGCTTGGCAGAGCTTTTCATGTCACAGCATAGTTTTAGGCCCCCCCATAGCCCCGAGTCGAGTGCTATTGGTGGGTTAGCAAAGCGAATTTCAGGACTTTTTAAAATGCCCCTTGTGACGATCCATTTTTTTTAAATCACTTGTTTGAACTGGATACAAGATGGGCTGATATTATGTACAAGACGTTTCTGCATTTGGCTGCTTGCTGACTGAAGAGGAAGGGAACAGGCCTCTTCCATGTTACAGTGTGCTGCTTTTTTGCCTGAGTACATGGACGTCGTAATTTTGAATTATTGTTAAGCGTGTGAGATTTTTATTATTAATCTGAATGATGTAGTTGAGCTAGGGGACCCAGACGTTTACAAGTACCATTCATCCATCTCCAGCTATTTTGTGGACAGTTCACATCAGCGGAGGTTTGTTCTTCGCTTTGCTTGAAACAAGATCATAGCCCTAAACTTCTTTATCTTCCACACCTTGTAACAGGCTGTTTCTTCCCTGTGCCTTTCATGCTGATTTAAAAGCAAGATCATTTCTTACATCTTAGTTTATTCTTCTTGAATGAATTTCAGATGGATCAGGCATTTCACAGTAGACAAGAAAAAGGAGGCCTCTTGACATTTTGAATTTTCCCCTTTGAAATAACAGATGTAAACGTGTTTTTACAAGAAGGTGTAATTAGACTGTGGAGCTCACTGGGAAGTCACTGACGGCAAGACCTTATCACGATTTAATGAAGGATTGGCTATTTATGTGGGTAACGCTATTCAGGATTAATGTGACAGTTCTTGGAAGAGAGATTGAACTTCATGATCTAACAGAGTCTTGGACACACAGATTACATTTAAAGCTGGGGAGCCAAATAATCCTGCATCAGGTTCTTGCACCCTCCTCTGAATGTTTTGGTGCTGCCATTGTTGGAAGATAGACCAGTGGATGAGATGCAGCCTCTGTCCCATCCAATATGGCAGTTTGGCTGTTCCCCTGGAAGTGTGTATTTGGGTTTAGGATTGCCAGGGTTGATTGGTTCAAACACCTCTAGGTTTGGGACCTTTGAAATTCTGAGTCAGATTTCCAAGTTCAGCTTTGATGTCATGATCAAATTGGCTTATGACTTAGCAGGATTTGTGGACACTTTAATAGGGGTAAGTCATCACCATATCTTACAAAAATGATTCGGTCCAGTTCTACATTTTCCCCACTTGCACTTCGCTGTAACTTGAAACAATGGAGACATATAAAGGTGAAGGGGACAGGCCATAGTGTCAACAGTATAATAAAGTGGTCATGCCAGTTATGGTGTTTATCTGTTTCAAATGTTGGTTTCTCAGTAACTTCAGTCATGATCTAGAGAGAAAATATATGGAGAATCCCCCTTACTTACAGTGCAGCTGCTCACTTGTTAATTAATTTGTAACCCTAATGTAGTAGTATATCAGTGCTGTCTGCTTAAGAATAGTTGTGCTGTATTCATTTGAAATGCTAGCTTTCTTAGTAGGCTACCTTCAGAAGAATTAATTGGGCATTAATAGGTATGGCAGTCTTTAATAACTTCACTGCCTAGGTTTATGCACCTGTGGTTGTTTAAAATAGGCCAACAAGAAGTTGTTTTAATAAAATTGCTACAAATATGTAAGTGCTGTTTGCCTACCCGGCCAGAGATGTATTCCTGGTCCTGGTCTCTTATTCCACACACTATGACCTTGAAGATAATGCAGAGGCTGTGGTAGGTATCTAAGGGTTGGGAAAGAACCTTGTATTGCTGAATGATCAATATGAATGGTGTCCTTGGCTGCTTTTGGATGAATGGTGGTGCTGAGGCTGGAGGGGCAACAGAGATGTACCCTTTTCCGGCAGATTTTATTCATATTTGGTCAGAGGGAACTTGGTACAGTAGGCATAAGAAATTGCAGTTGTTTTTATTCTGAATTACTCATAATTTTTTTCATTACCTTCAAACCTCTCTATCTGTTATAAACCTGTTCTTTCTACAGTGAAGTCCACGTAGGATGTGGACAGATGTAACAGTGTTCTAAATATACATGAAACCCAACAGTGTAGACATGCACACTACTTCAGAATGGTTTAAACTTCCTGGAAAGTTTCAAAAGCACACTGGGGAAATCAAGTACTCGAGTCAGCCCTCAGTGAGCCAGTTCAGTGTTATTTGCAGACACCAGGCATCCCATGCCTCGTGTCTGGTCACTTCAGACTGCACTGCTCCTCACCCCATACCCCCAAATACACGCAAGGCAACAGGAGTGCCCAGAGATCTGCTGTCTACAGAAATCGGTTCTCAGGGATAGACAGACCATCGGTTCTATTAAGTGCCTGTTGTGCAATGGTTCTTGTTTCCGCATACACGCATTTCCTAGTTACTGTTTCCCACCCGGGAATTGACAAGTGTTTACTGTTAAGGCACCCACCCATCCACCGCAAGCAGGGGGTCATACAGCACCCCCCCAGTACCTTCCCCCACCCACCTTTTTCCTTCCCCAAATGAGTCTGGGAGCCCCTTGAGTGAGGTCTGTTTCCTGTGATTGGATCTAGGTTGTTCCTCTCACACACTTGTGCAACCCCAGGCAGCCATATAGATTTTGGTAAAGTGTAACAGTGTTTCTTATTAAACTAAATCAATCTTCTTTTTTAACTCAGTGGTTTTAAGAAGAGCGAGCATAGCATTGCAATTGCAGGCAGTGGTAGCAGCTTCTTTCTTAGTGTCCAGCTAGTCCAGGTCTTCCACTTCCTCCAGGGGAAAATCCTGGGGAAACTAGGCACTGACCCCTGAAAGGCAGCAATTAAATCTCTAAACGGTGACAGCTCTCTTTAGAGCCCTTAGCAGTGTGTACACAGATGCTTCTGTCCAGGGAAAGTTGTAAACTTGTTCCCAATTGGTGATGTTTTTTGGAACGGTTCAATAGTTATATGTGTTTGCATCTATGCCGTCATTTTGGAGGCATGGAGATAGTAAGTTCTTTAAAAGAAAAACAAAACAAAACAGAGAAGAGACTTTTACCAAAGACCAAGATAATTTCATATATAAAACAGAAAACATATATGTGATGAGCAAAAACAAAATCACTGGAGTACACAGTACACTCCAATTCTGCAGGCAGAGATATATAGGCCGTATATCCTCTCTTTAGTTTCAAACTTATTTGGGATTACAAGATTTGGCATTGTTTCAGAAGATAGGACTTCTGATCTGTAGTAATCAAAGTCTAGTTGAAAGATCTCTGAGGTGTTGAAATCTAGAGATATAAATTTAGAGGAAGAATTTTTGTTTCAGAGGTTCTGCTGAGCGCTTGTTAGGATTTCTCGGGTAATATTCCTAACAGTCTGGAACAGGGATCATCCAGTTGTCAGTGTTCAAATCTCAAATGAGGCAGAATACAGTGCGTGGACTATAAAAGACACCAAAAATAGTTCCTGATTTTTCCCAGGTTTTGAGTCTGAAACAGATTTGGTTAAAACATTTAAAATCTCAGATTGAGGTTACTCAAAACCTTTAGCAGGGAGGGGGGTTATCTGTGTTTGGCTGCAATCAGGAAGGCAGAGTAGGATGGCACCTTAGAGAACAATGGGTTTGGAGAACCACAAGCTTTTGTAGGCAACAACCTATTTTGTCAGGTGGTTGTAGGTTTTGTAGGTTGTTGCCCACAAAAGCTCAGGCCTCTCTGAACCCATTGATTTCTAATGTGCCCTGCATGCTGCCAAGACCTGTAGCCAGTGAGAGTGATACTGTGATACCCATGACCCTGGAACAAACGTGTTGTTGTCCCTTCCTGACTTCTGGGGTTCATTTTTAACACGAGTACCAGTAACTGAATTGTTAGGCAAGTGTGTTGTGAAATGCGAGGCTTTGTGAAACTGGACTTGCTGCCAGTGCAATGGAGGATAAATGACAGCTGAGATTCTTTGAAATATTACATGGTGACTCTCCCTAGTTGCTGTCAGTTTGGTAGATGCCAATAAAGACAAACGAATTTGGCTCTGCAGAGGACTGTTGCAGTGCGTATGTCCTTTTGTCCAGCAGCCCAGTGTAGTAGTCAGGGAGATTTGGAAGAGAGTGGAGCAGAGATGTCAGTGACGGGAGTGCTTATCCTGCTAGGCCTCATCCACGTCATAGCACTCGATTGCACTTATCTTAGGTGCAGATTGTGCAAAAATGTACCAAGTGCTTCCAGTTTTTAACTGGTGTAATAGAATTTGTAAGCGATTTTTATCGATAACATAATTGGACTACTTGCCTAGTGCAGCATGACAGGCTTTTGGGGGTTGTGCCGTTATCTCAGCCCAAAACGAAACCTTTCAGACTGCTTCTATTACGATCCATTCAAACACTGCATACTTGCAGCGTAACCACCCTGCTATACTGCAGTTTTATTTGTGTTACTAACCTGCTTGAAATCTTGCTGCCTTGTGTTTTGATGTAATATTAGGTCAGTTTAAATCCAAATAATATTGGGCATATTTGAACCTTTTATTGAAAATTAAGCGATGTTTTGCTTTGGTCTTGTTTGCAGGTATATGTCACAAGGAAAACATGCAGAAGCAAGAGAACTAATGTATTCAGGGGCATTGTTGTTCTTCAGTCACAGCCAAGTAAGACCTGTTGGGGGGTTTTTTGTGTTTTTTTTTTTTATCCAAACAGTTTGGGAGCTGAGCAGTGAGCTATTAGTGCTAAAAGTTTGGGGCTGATAAGTAGTCTTATTTTGGGAAGTTATTGTGTAAGCTTTACCATTGCACCTCAGTCTCAGTCTTTTCTCTGAAAACATGAGCTATGTCAAATTAAACCTCATCCTGGAGATTTTGTGATGTTCATATATATCCACACTGCATTTGCAAAGTAACCCAATTCTGTTTTGCTTTCATGGAGGACTTCAATTTGGCACACATTATTACATTCCTGCAACTGAGGGTGTGGATACATGAACAAATTACACCAATTTAAAGGGATGGAGGAAGGAATGATTTACTACACATCTGCTGTTTCACAGTAGTTGTTTAATGTGTCCACTCTGTCCCATAGCAAGTGACAAGTAAACTGCAGTAATTTAGCAGTTGCTTCATTCAGAGGTAAACTGCCCTAGTTCACTTCTCACTTACAAAGGGACAGAATAAGATACAGCTGACTTGTGAGAAGTGCTCCCCTCTCTTTTAACTAAATATAATTGGTTCATCTGTCCATATACTCTCCCTGTGCCTGAGCTATAATCATCCAAATTATTAGTTTGCTTTTCACAAAATCAATTAAACAAAAAGAGAAAATACGTTTTTCTAATATATTTTTCTAATGATAAATAATGTGTCTCTGTTTTGTAGCAAAACAGTGCTGCTGATCTGTCCATGCTGGTTTTAGAGTCCCTGGAAAAATCAGACACAAAAGTAACAGATGAACTACTAGGTAAGACTTTTACTGGGGTTAGTTTGAAATTGTTTAATATGCATTTCCACTTCTGAAAAATACTTAGCTGCATCTGTCACATAAGTCTCCTAAGACTTCAGCCCTTTCCATTGTGCCGTGTGTTGTGGTCTCCTGCCCTGCCAAAGAATTAATTTAATTCCAGAAGTGCCCCACAGACGTCTTTGGTGGAAAGTAATGGTTTCTCAGGAACTGTCATGGCTTTGAGCATCCAGGCATACTTTGAGCAAACCTCACTGTTTTGTAGGTGGAGCATGATTTTTGGTGTTGTCCTTTTCCGACACAGGAGAAACATGTGTTGCCTGCACAGCAATTGACCTCTCTGCCGCTTTGATGGACAGTGGCCTCTCATCCAGTCAGTGTGGTGATGTGCACATTGCCCAGGGGTCGTCCATTTTGTCAAAGAAACTTTGCTTGTTGGACTGTCAGATTCGGTAAGCGTGCAGTTCGTACAGCCCTTCTTGTGAGCTGCCCAGCTGGAAATCACATGAAGAGTCCTTTTTACAGCCCATGGAAACTGCTGTTCTTTGGGGCCTGCAGACAGGATGGAGAATGGGACAGAGAATGCACTTAGATCCATAGATCCAGTCTGATGTTTTATGCCCCCCCCGTTGTCCTCTGACAGTCCTGTTCCTAATTACAGGCTCCCAGCCCCAACAGCTTTCTATGACTGGTGTGACTCCTAACTGAAGCCTCTCTTCCACTGGAACTCCCTGACAGCTCCAGGACATCTAACCTAAGCCGTGGCGCACGGAAGGCTTTTTTTTTCAATGTACTGCCTGCTGCTTACTAGGCAGGGTGTGGCTTCTGGCACTGCAGCGGAGAGGTCAATTGGATGTTACTGAGTTACATATGGAAATATATAATGTTCAAAGTCACTACCTGGAGAAGACTGACTGTCATTTAATATGTCTTTATACAAAGGATTACTAACAGTTGCTTCTTAAGATACAGTAAGATCCGAACGTTTGTCATATTTCTGGTGTTAACTGTTTGTCATCTCTGATGTTAAATATTTGTATCGCTTCTAGAAAACTTGGCTAAATTGTTTAGTTTGATGGATCCAAATTCCCCTGAAAGAGTGGCTTTTGTATCCAGAGCACTGAAATGGTCCAGCGGTGGGTCAGGAAAACTCGGTCACCCGAAATTACATCAGTTACTAGCCATCACGTTGTGGAAAGGTAGGAACAAGCGACTGGTACAGTCATTTCATTTCTGGTCTTCTTGAGTTGATTCTGTGTTCTTATCGCTGTGTAAGTTAAAATGTTTTTTGACAAACCTCTCCAAGAGCAGAGCACAAAGTGAGGGCTTTCGTTGGATCCTCTTCAAAACCTGGGTTAGTTTTAACAGAGATTAAAATGACTTGGATTAGAAAGTATTTCAGAGTCTGCTACTTTTTTTTTTAATCCTCATTAGCAGCACTTCTCAATAGTCATCAGGTTTCTGATCCGCGATAAGTAAGAAATTGACTGACATGTACAATATCTGAAAGCCACCAGATGTTAAACTTGACAGAGTTGTGTTATTTCAATCATTGTTAATGAGTGCAGTTTCAATTTTGATTGCATTACTCGTGAATTAACAGAATTTTTCCTTTTTTTGTGGGTTTCTTATCAACCAACCTTGGTTTGCTAGGTACCTTTTTTAAAAAAAAAAAAAGGGAGGAGGAAGTCAGGCTCTTCCACAGCTGTGGAATGATGTTAGTCTCATAGTAATGTTTACTGCTGCTCTTTCACATTTTGTCTCAGTCATTTTATGACTAATTGGGTGGCTTTTTAATGGGTGCTGGCAACCACTGAGTGAGAACTTCTCTGAAAACATAAGCTTTTTGGTTTTTTTTCTTGAGGCCCCAGAACGCAATTGGGAAAGAAAATAGTTCTTGAAAGTGAACATCCTCTATCTGGAGCCAGGGACGTAGTTTGCATCCACAAATAAAAATGTGTGCATTCTTGTTGTTTGTCATCCCATGGTTTGCAGGTTTTTAACCTAGGACTGCCTGGTTCTAAGCAGGCTCTGATTTTTATGCCTTCTGACTTATCACCACTGTTGTCTTGAGGAGTGTTTTTCATCAAAGTTCAAGCAAACATTTTCTCTTTCCAATCCTTTTTTTTTTTTTTTTTAATTGGCATAACTACCTCTATTTCCCCTTTCTGTTCTCCAGTATAGAAATAATCCATGTCTGAGAATGGGGGTATGTCAAACCAAAATTCAGGTAAACCATCTCTCCCCACACTTCAGGGAAACTATGGCATTAAAGTTTATAGCACGTATGTTTCAGGAAGAACTTTTCCTTCCCTTTGACTGTAATGCATTCAATGCCGATATAACGATAGTCAAGATGGTAGTCGAGTGTTTTTGAGAAACAAGACCTGTAGAAGACTCTATTCAGTGCTATCACTGATTTAAAATATATTTTGGATAGTAGTTTACTGCCTTGCCTCTCGAGTAAATTGTCTAGTGTTAGTAGCAAAGTGACCATCCTCATTAAACCATCTCCATGTTTTTGCTGGATAGAAATCCTGTGCGTTTATACAGGCCTTGCTTGGCACTTCTCTTTGGAAAAGGAACAAACCTAGCCAATGTTTTGGGGTGAAATGTAACACTGATTTCTTAGTAGTTGTTTTCTTTTCTTTTGTAGAGCAAAACTATTGTGAATCCCGGTATCACTTCTTGCACTCCTCAGATGGCGAAGGTTGTGCTAATATGCTAGTAGAATATTCCTCATCCCGGGGATATCGCAGTGAGGTGGACATGTTTGTAGCTCAGGCAGTCTTGCAGTAGGTATTCCACAACGTTTGTTATCAAAATGTTTGATAATATGACTTGAATTCTGCATTGCATTGGATGAAAGGCTCTAGTTAGGGCAACTGTGAGTTCATATGTTCCTTGCAAAAGATTTGTGAATAGAGTTTTTAAGCCTTTTTTTGTAGTTCATCAGATGGAAAAACTTTACACAGTAGATATGTTGATTAAAAGGACTAATGGGGAAGGTGTAAATTTGTGCTAAACAGGAAAACTAAATCAACCCACGTGAATCCAAGCAGCAGCATCCTCATCACCAAAATAAAAGTTCTCCTCCAGTTGCTAAGAAGCTTCCTTTGTAACATTAAAGACATCAGTGTGTTGTGTTTATTTTCTTTGTCTCTGTTCCCACAAACACGATACTGAAATGTGTATTTACATGCGTTTAATGCTGCCTAAAGGTCCAGGTCAGGATTGGGGCTTATTTGTACTGGCCTACATGCAAATACAAATGCTCTGCCTCAGGCTTCCAGTAGAAGAATGATCCCTTTTGTGCTGTTGCGTGTGGCCAGAGGTAGTCAGTGATCAGGTGCTTCCATTAAGGGACCTGCTTGTTCCTTTATGATACTTTAGTACAATTTATTACATTGATTTATAAGTTGTTATATGTCAAATGCACAGCATCCATTTTAACTCTGTTCAGCCTAATCTACTTTAAGATGCTTGACTTTATCTGAGTCAGTATAAAAATGGCCCACTGTTTTAGTCTTAATCATGTTTTGAGTGGGCTGTGCAGTTACAAAGCAGTTTTTGCTGTGCTGAAGCATTTCTTGGACATCGTCTTTCTGTTACATGTCACTCAACTAGCACCGAACTGAAGCATTTCCTTTATGAGATTCTGCTACATGCAGGGCAGTTCCAGCTTTCAGAGCAATTGTGTGTGCTGGAAAAGTTTCATAAGGTGCATTATGTCATGCAGTATTTATACAGAAATGCAACTAAATCTTTTACTGGCCTAGATCTTTAACCAGATTAAATCTTGCAACATATGTGGATTTACTTCAAGCTATAATCATGTGAAAAATCAGTGTTGCGGTGCCTTGGTCAACAGTACACAGTGAATTTAAAAACCCATTACATCTAAGAGTCCAGTTTTGGAAGCCAACACACAATTGAAGATGAGATCTCTCTCGTGACAGCCGACTCAACCCTTGTGAACAAGATTTGCTTCCTAAGCAAAAGGTTCCCAGTAAGTTAGTGCATCTTGCTGGAAGTTTGACTGCATTTACTAAGCCCAAGAGTTGCAGTCATTCAGACACAAAATATACAGAATTTATTGGATCTTCCAATATTGCAGCACTCTGAGATGCTGGTAGTATTTGAAGGAAATTGTTTGATCATTCTGGGATGAGAGAACCTAATGATGATGGATGTTATGGATATTTGGGAAAATGGAATATCATTTAGATTACATTTTTACTCCAGTAAAGTGAATTTTTGATGATATACAATTAATTTCAATTATGCAATAAAAGCGGCATCCGCTATAGTCAGTTTTCATGCACTTGTGGTAAAAGGTGAATAAGGTTGGATGAGAATTGCTGTATATCCTGCTTTAGATGGATTGATTGCTGCTTTTTTCCCCCTCCTGAGCAGAGATCTAAGTTAATAGCGTAACTGATATTAACATCTACATGTTCTGGTTGTTCTTTGAAGTAGCTTAACAATTTTCTCCCTGGCTGATTATTTTACGTGATTGCCAAAGCTGTATGTTGTCAGCTAATAGAGCTTTGACTATTAATTAATCAATTGATCCTAATTCAGCTTGCTTATGTAAATTCAACATAGGTCAGCAGACATTTTGACCTTATGTTCTTGGCTTAAAATCAGGTTTTCCGGCACTAATAAATATCATTTCAACTTCTACTATTCTGCTTTCCTTTTCAGATTTCTCTGCTTAAAGAATAAGACCAGTGCATCAGTGGTTTTTACAACATATACACAGAAACATCCTTCAATAGAAAAGGGGCCACCATTTGTACAGCCATTACTAAATTTCATCTGGTTTCTGTTACTAGCTGTTGATGGGTATGATATAGTGCGTTACTTCTAGTTTTAATTCACGTTTACATTTTGCCAAGATTACATATTGTGTTGTTTCCTTCCTAGAGGAAAACTAACAGTATTTACAGTATTGTGTGAACAGTATCAACCCTCACTGAAAAGAGATCCCATGTATAATGAGGTGAGTTATCGGTAGTTCTGAACGGGTTTTAGCCCTGCCAAGTAGACTTGCTTAGATAAACTGCCTCAGCAGCACATCCCTATTTAACTGGGAAGCCCAGTAAAGTACAACATGGATGACTTCTTTCATTTTCTTCAAATGTAATAGTTACCAGCAAACACTTTGACTAATGGAATGTTCTTTTTATTCACACAGTTTACCCTGACATGATTATTCATTAATATAAAGCACAGTATTTTACTTGTCTTTGGTACATTTATTTTAAAAAAATAATGTTTTAAGTACAAATCGGAGAAAGAAATTCTCAAAATACATTGCTAGGAAATTCTGGGCTTTGATTTCTTTTCTTCCCTTGCTGTAATAATTTATACATCTCCCAGTAGCTAATGTTATCTATGTTTGTGTGTCATTGCAGTATCTAGATAGAATAGGACAGCTTTTCTTTGGAGTTCCTCCCAAGCAAACATCATCCTATGGAGGATTACTAGGTAATTTGTAACAATGAAGTGTCTAATCTTGTTTGAAAAAATAGTTGTTTGCAGAATCTGTTACTTAAGTATATCAACCCCTTTTACGTGTCCTAATGTATTAAATTTAATAGGCATGGCTTCTTTGAAACGAACAGGGTAATCTAAACAATAATTACCATTATCAAATATGCAGTAATCAGTTATGCATGCAAGTACATTGTTATGTGGTTCGTAATATCATGATTTTATGCTAAAAATGGAAGGCATACTTAAATATCCCTAGAAACATTCATATTTTTAAAATTTGAAATTAAATAGCAAAGCAAATCCCTCAGTCCCACTAAGATTTGCCCATGCTTAATTTTAAGCATGTTTGTATTCCCATTGACTTCAGCGGGATTACTCATTTCTTAAAGATATGTTCATGCTGAAATAAGTTTATGGCTAGGTTCTTGGAAGAGAAGTGTAACAGCTATGCTACAGAAATAACTATTTAGTATTTCTGAAGAAACGATGTTGGTTTTTTATAAAAAAAAATCTTTATTGGAAGAAGAAACAAAACACATCTAACTTAATTTTGATTATAAATATATTAGAAGGAACAAGTTGAGCCTAATTTATTTATAAAATCATTGACTGCAGTGCCTTTCTCAGAAGAACTAAGCTGTTCCTCAGGAAGCTTTTTTGATTCATTGCAATTCACAAATGTCTCTAGAGTTCCTTTAACTGGTACCCGAACTTCATTCTTGAACTTGATCCGTTAATAGTTGTTCAGCATTTTGAAATTTGCTGTTCAGTGTAAGCAAGATGAAGGCATGTGAACACTGCTGAAAACTAGTTTTCTTTCCTTCCTAATGTTTTCCAAAACTCATTCCTCTGCTGTAGTCGAAGCAGATGATACAATATGTCTGTGTTGTCCTTCAATGCCTTAAATTACTCTTCCAGGGATAATGGAGGCTGATTCAGTAAAAGCTGAGGTCTGCAAACCATGGCAGCAATCACTTAGTCAGTTTTATGTCTTGAGCTTCCAATGCCTCAGATCTTTCTTTAGGTCCTAATCACTCAAAGTAGTAATTGTCCTCAAATTCCACTGGAGTCCCTAGAATTGCAGTTTTTCAGTTCCTCATAAAATAGACTTCCCTAAGTTTTCATATTCAGGAAGGATCCCAGTTTGTAAAGTGCTTGTTTGCAGATTTATGTAAATAAGCTAAGTGCTGAAGTTACCTTAACTTGGGGTGCCCTTTTTAAACAGACTCAAATACTCTGTCTTTTTATGGAGGTGAATGTCACTTAAGGCTACTTTACTCTGGTTTTCTAGACCATTGTAGCTCCTTATATTAAATATTCTTCTTTCCATCTGGATAAGTCATAGGGCTGTGCAAAACGGCACCGTTCTGTTTCGACTTGAGCTTTGAGGTTTCAGCGGAACAGCGTTTCATTTCGAATTTCATTTCAATTCGAAACCACTGTTCTATTTCGCTTCGTCAAAACGGTGACGCTGTTTCGACGCTTCGCCCATTCGCTATAATGGGGAAGCTCAAAACAGCCTCTGGCAGATGGGGGCCCGCAACCCCAAGAGGGCTGTGGTGGTTGTGCCAGTCCTCCCAGGGCTGTGGGCCCACGATCTGCCTGCCAGATGAGAGAGGGAAGCCGGGTGCTGCCGCCTGGGACTGGGGAGCTGGGGAAGGGAACTGAGCCCCATCGCTCAGTTTCCCTCCCCAGCCTTATGATCGGGCAGGAGAAAGGAACTCAGCCCAGCTGGGCTCAGGCTGGGCTGAATTCCTTTCCCCAGCCCAATCGCAGCGCTGGGGAGGGAAACTGAGCCCGACTCAGTTCCCTTCCCCTGGACTGTGATCAGCTTCCTGCAGCCCAGCTGTAGGAGGCGGGAAGAGCCAGGGCTGCGTGCCCCGCTGAGCTGCATGCCGGCTACTTTGAAACTAGAAACATTTCAGAACTTTCAAAACATTTCAACTAGCCTCGTTTTGTTTCAAGGCTGTTTCAGAGCCCTTCGTTTTGATTCCATATCGCTGTTTCAAGCTCGAAATGAGTCAAAACAGTGCAAATTGAAACAGCCAGCAAAGTTTCACACAGCCCTAATAAATAGTCTTTGGAATGGATACTGAGATCCTATGTAACCTCTTAATTTCTGGCATAAATGGTTAAATGATTTTTCATGTACTTTCAAGAAAGGTTGGGTGGGTGGGTTGGTTGGTTGTTTCTAAGAAAATCATTTATTCTTATTGCTAAATACTTAAAGGAGCATAATAAAATAGATAATGCCTTGCTGTGAAGCCATTGGTTTTGAGGAATGCTCTCCCTCTTTCTCTCTCCAATCAGCTGCTCCATTGCTGAGGCAGAAACTTGAAAATAAAATAATTCTACCAATGTTCTAAAATTCGAGCTTAGCATTTCAAGCACCTTTAACTATTCCGTGTTTAATTATAGGAAATCTTTTAAACAGTTTGATGGGAACTGGAGAAGATGATGAAGCAGAAGATGGTCAAGAAGACAGCAGTCCTATTGAACTTGATTGAATTTTTTTTTCAGTGGGAGCTGCATGAATCTGACAATTTGATAACTCAAAAGACAGTTTCAGAATTTGAGTCCGGCCATTGTTTTTCAGCAACTAAAAGGGCTCCTCTGTTCTGTTAAAGAAAGTTGCTGAAATGTTTATAATGTTTGGTCTATATTATTTATGTAAGAAGAAAAAAAAGTAGCCAAAAGAACTGATTGGAGTGATTTGTTAACAGATTTCCAATATGCTGGCTGGTGAGCTTGATTATTGAGATATGTGGTTTCAAGTGCAGTATTCCCTTTTCCACAATGAATAAAGCATAAACATTGATTTGCTACTCTACATTTTTTAACTAATTTTCTTTCAGATGATTCTGAAAAGTGCTTAACCTTTGATGTCGCACAGGAATGTCTTGAAAGGCAGGGTTAATGGCTGAATAGCTTATCTAAGAGCCCAGTGCCAAAATACTTCAAGACAAGCCAAAAAAGTAGAATTAAAGATGCACATCTAAGAAATCTCAGTACCAAGAGACAAGTCCTCATTGAAATTAATTCCTGTTGCAGCACATCATAACATTTGTGCAATCAAGAACAATTCTTAATATTTAAAATTAGCCTGCAGCTTATTCCCACATTTCCTTATAAGTACCTGATTTATTCAAGGGTAGCTTGAATAAAATGGATCATTTGAATGTAGGTAATTGGCTACTAATTAGGTCAAAATCTCCTAGCCATGTAATTTTATACATATACACTCAGCAGCTAAAATACCTCCTGCAGCACATGGCTTTATTCTTCAGAATGGAGTCTTTTTAAGTTTAGGTTTGCGATAGTGTGGAAAGGTGACTGTTTGGGGTTTTGTAATCAAGCAAAACCCACAGCATTTTTACTACAAGTAGCACACGCATTTGAAACACAACTCTATTTAAAGAAAAGGGATACTGCAAAACTCTTGGTTCTTTATGATACAATATTTATTTTTATTGGGTGATTGATTCATTTAACACTTTCTGTATAAAAAAGAATAAAAATAAAAAATACCTAAAATAACTGCAAACCATGCGGTAGGCATAATTCTACATCTTGTCTCCTTTTAATGCAGTACACCAGATGTTAGCAGAATGATTAAAAGATGAAATGGGGGAAACACTTTATTTTTTCACATTTAAAATAAAAGGCTTAGATTAATACACATCGATCATACATGGGGGGGAAGAATACATTTTTATTTACTGTAAAAAAAAAAAAAAAAAATTTAAAGGAAGACTTTGTGTTAATTGTTGAGTATTAAATAAATACTTTATACTGGGTTTGGCAGCACTGTTGCTTTTTGACAGTCTCATGCTTGGAGGTCTTCTGTTCAAGGCACTCTTCCTTTAACCTGACCAGCAGGTGACTCTTTCCTTTAACATGACCAGCAGTTGTGCAGCTTTGCTTCTCTGACTTGTCTCCTACGTCCAGGGATTGAGAGTTCTCTGTTAAAATAGTTTTGAGACATGATTGCTACAAGTACAGACTGACAAGTAGTTCTTCAGATGTCAAGCAGGCCATGGGAAGTGTTGTCTTCATGCCTTCCACCAGCCAAGTCTCTGCCTTCCAGTTCAGGTAGCTGGCTCTGTATGATCGTATGCGGGGACAGACGCATGTTGAAGACGGGGCTACAGTTATCACTGCAGCCCGCTCTCTGTGCCCCTCTGTCTTCCGCACAGTGCACCATGTCTGGGAGGTGGAGCTTCTCAACAGTCCTGAGTTCTTGGTGGTCTGCTTATACCCTCATTGAAAATGGGGAGTGGATCTGTACTGTTAACACACAACCTTAACAGTGGCCTCTGTAGTGCTGAGACCTAATAGCTTCCCAGGTATACATATCTAGAGTTGTTGAAATGAAGCTAAAAGCAGATAGATTGGTTGTTAAGCTTTTCTGTCTGCCTGCCAGGTTAAATTAGAGTGCATTGTTTTGAGGCTCTATCTGGGCTTAAAAGTTTTTTGTAGAGGGCATGAATGTTTATTGCCAGATATGAAGATAACTTGTCCCTTCTGTTCTTTCAAGGCTTCGGCTCCATGGGATTTGGTTTGCTCTGAACAAGGGGGAATTCTTTTGGGCAATTTTATTTTATGGTGAAATATATGAAAAAGATGTGAGTAAGGAGGAAAAGTGTCATGGAGTTTCAGTGGGAATTGTCTAACCAGGAAATAGTGTGTAAGAAGGTTTTTTGTGAGGAGGAAAAGAGAGAGTTTTAGTGGCTTACAGTGTACCTGCTGCTGCCTCTTGAAAGGTTACTGATGGTTTGTCTCACCATGGGTCCAAAATCTCTTGGTTGAAGATGACTGTGGCCTAACAAAGGGTTTATTGCTTTGGGTGGGAAAGGCTCTGTGTTGGCTTGGGTGACATCCTTCAATACGAAGGGCTGCCAAGGAAGGAGTTAAGATCCTCACTAGAGAGGGATGTCTAAAGAACGAAGAAGCAACTTGTTTAGTCTGGGGAGGGAAGAGACTCAGGAAGCACCTGAAGTGCTGGAAAATTGACCATCTTCTCCACACAAGCTGCCCGCAGCCCACATTTGGAAGGGAAGAACTGGGTGGATTTTTCCTGGCTGCAGCAAGCTGCCCTGTTTGGTACTTCTCTGTCTGAATGAGGAAAGCTGGTTCTGACTCCCTGCAGTTGGCCTGGGCAGGGAGAAGTTGTAACTTGAGGTGTCAGGTAGCCAGTGATTTTCTTGTCCTCCCTTTTTCTTGGAAAACCTCATACAACGCTGCTTTCGCACCTGTGCAGAGCACCATTTAAGCTTGGTTTTTAAGCCTTTGTAAATGAACTTTGAGGAGCTGCTGGGCCAAGCCATAATATGGGGTAAAGATACACGGATGATTGTGTTCCTTAAAACCAGGTCTTAGTGAGACGAAAGGCTGGAGAGACAAGGATTGTGGAGGCACGCAATCCATGGGCTCATGCTCCCTGGTCCTGAAATGGTGGCTGATTCTAGGGAAGGTGGATGAACGCCATAGAGAGGGAGAAGAGGGTGTGGAGGATGCACAGCACAGACAATGGATCCGAGTCACGGACGGACTGGAAGGTGCCTTCAGAGATCGTTAGTCCAAACCCCTGCTCAAGGCCGGCTTATCTCTGGGTTCAGGGGAAGGTATGAATGGATACGTGGGGAGGGATATGGGAAGCTGCAGGCATAAGGTGGAGTGGGGTAGAGGGGGTGTTCTCTAGTTTTCCTGTCCTAGTATAGCTCCTGTATGGATGTTGATTGTGGAATAAAAATGCTTTTTTCTAGTTTAGTTTCTATTGCTTTGGACTGAAAGCTTGTATTTTGAGTGTCTCTCTTTCCACCTCCCACTGATCTGCCCTTTGATCCACCCTCAGTACTAATTCTTGAAGTGTGGGAAGAGCCCTGATCCCTTCATAAGATGGCAGAGGATGGCACTCTCCCTGCAGATGTGTCCCCGAATGTGAAGATTTAGGACCTGTTGGGGTGTGTGTGTGTGTGTGTGTGTGTGTGTGTGTGTGTGTGTGTGTGTGTGTGTGTGTGTGTGTGTGTGTGTGTGTGTCTAATTCCCTGTATTTTTTTAAAGATTAAGGAGTGAAGTCTGTGCAGCCGGAGTCAGGTACAGTAACAACAGGTGATGGGGGCGGGATTTTATGGCATTGAGGATCTGACTGGCTCCCTTATCAGCTCATTTCCAGATAGGACCACTTTTTAAAAACACACTGAGATATGTTGTAAAGAAAGTGTGTTAGGAGGAAGCGGAATTCTGTCCAAATACCCTCCTTGCTTTACCTTCTCTTAAAAATCTTCTACAAGAACATTCCTATCCCTGTAAATCATTGCTGGTTGCATTTTGCTTTAATTTGCCAGTCAGCAGCCTTTTCTTCTACATCCCAATATTGTAGTTTGAGATGGAAGTCCGGAAAGTGGACGGTATTTGCACTTCCTCTCGTATTTTGTCTGGAGAAGTATTTACAATAGCTTTCTTTCTGCCTATTAAAGAAAGGTACCAAATCAAAGGCACGTGGATTAAATTGCATATTAAGTGTCACCTGAGCATGGTGTAGGAGGGCTTATCGATCTGAAACCTGTTTACCTGCTAAAAAGGCGAATATGCTTTCAGAACCAGGTAGCAGGCTTGTCAGGTGACTGCAACGTGAGCTGACTTCAGTGGCGATGCGTTACCTGTTACCAGAGCCAGAAATCGGATTATGATGATGATGATGAATATAACTTGTGCACTGCCAGGCAGAGAGGAGACACAACCTTTCTCACATCTCTGGCTACAACCTCTCTCTGTGCGTGAAGTTACCAACAATAGCGCTGATGGATTGTCCCAGCGGAGGTTTGAATTACAGCAGGGCTGTGCAACTGTCCATTACCCGATTAAAATCTTTTCAGAAGCATCATTTTCAAAGGTGACTTTATGCATCAAGGAAAGGGGAAAGGGACTGTTTTGAACTGGGTGCCCTGCTTTGCAAATAACCCCCACACTGTGTTCAATTAGTCTTTCTCCCTCCTACCCCCAGGCAAACGCACGCGTGCCGGGTAGGCTGTTTCTCAAGGCCTCTGCGTATTCTGAAATTCTGCGTGATTGCTGGAAGAGGATTGTGATGGCTCAGTATAGACCAGTGGAATATGCGAGCTTAGATCTAGGAGCATGTATCAATATCCAAGTGTAATCTGATGTCAAGTTGTAATTTTGACGGCTAGTTGAAGTAACCCTGGGGGAAGCTAGTTAACAAGTTAAAATGACAAATTGCCTTGTCTACTAGGATTTTCCATGTTTCGTTGATACCTGCTTGATATATTTTCTATTCCTAGGACGGGCAAGGCCAGGGAAATAGTCTTCAACCAAGTGATAGTAGTAGAGCAAAAGAGAAGGTTGCTTCCAAACTTCACCTCCGTGGCATGCAATCTTCCACAGCTGCCTTGTGAGTAAAGACACACAGTGACTGAAGCACTGGAAGTGGTGGTTTGGTGCTCCACTCCAGCATGCACGTGCAAAGGCATCTGACTCAGCTGCTGCCTGATACGTGCTGAAGTGTGTGCCTGGAAACCCCATGCATTACTGCTCCTAGTGGTGATGAACTATGGCTTCAAGCAGCTCATTGGCATGTCTAGACTCCAGCGGGAGAGATGGGACATGGTTTTGTGGTGTTCTTGGAGCCCAGATCTGGATTTGGCCTTGCAGAGAAGACACCTGAGGACCTTAGTTTCTGCTTGTGTCCCCTTCTCTGACGGTTGTTGGAGCAACCATCTGAGACATGGTGTGACCTGCTTTTCAATCCCCATGAGGCCTAATTTGGAACAGAGACTTGAACCAGCTCTTCCACATTCCTGGCCAGTGTCCTAACCCGCTGGCATTAGGTGCTGTAAGGGTGAGTTTCATTCTCCTGCTGGCACCCTTACACTTTTCTATGTAATGACCTGTTCTGGAAGTCCAGCTGGTGTGTTAACCACTGGATGAAAGCCGGTGGCCTTCTCTGGTTTCCGAGTGCCCCTTTGAGCCAGCCCAGGCATGGCTTCCAGAGTGGGCAGGGGAGACCTGACTCCTCAAAACTCCTGAGGTCCTGGGCTTTGAGTCCCTGGCTCTCCTTGGCCCGGGCAGAGGAGCTTGCTTCCAGTTCTGCTCCCGACCAAGGGATTTGCTCTTGCTGGGGTGAAGTGTACCCTCCGGTTCCAAGCACCAAGACCAAGAGCTCCTCTGCTAGAAGTGTTTACTGAGGCCAAAGCTGCTCTGCCCCTGGTCTCTCTGGCCCCAGTGCAGCCCCTGCAGCCCTGAGAAGTCCTTTGGTCTGCCCAACCATGCGCCCCAAAGCTGCTCAGCTGTTCACCCCCGCCAACCTCTTCAATGCTCTGGCTGTTGTCAGATTATTTCTCTTGCTCCCCTGGACCCTCCAACCTCCCCAAGTCGGTTGATGCTGAAGAGTCATTTTATCTTGTCCCTCATAGCAGCTCTAAGACTTAGCAGGGGCCTGTTTTCCCTGTGTGCAGGCTAACCAGGGAAACTCAGACACACCACATTATCATAACAGGAATACATTTAAAACAGAAATGTTGCAATAAAAGCCACAATCTGTCATGCCAGGCTCTTGCTTTCTCTCCCTAGATCAACAAGCATCTGGGACCAGGCCCCAGAGTACCTGAGAGCCTGGCCTTTGGGCATGCAGTGGGGATGGGAGACCTGCATTCACGCCCTAGATGGGCAAGAATGGGCAAAATGTCCAAGTTCTCCAGTTATTGCCTCACTGTGAGCGATCTCTCTGGTCTGGTGTTTTCATTACAATTAAAACAGGCCTAAATCTATTGCTGCTTATC